CAGGCATGACCTGGAGCACCGACTGTCCGCCTCGCTACTGTCTTCTCCCTCAGTTCTGAAAGACTTGTGGCTGTTTTTACACAATGCGTGCAGTCATGTGGGATGAGATACAGAAGCCAGGCGTCAGATTCTGACGCTGCTGGAAAACTGGGGCCACCAGGAGCTTCCCTGGAGTAAACTGGGGTGTTCCTGTGGTGGTGTGTTTAAGTCTGTCCTCAGTGGAATGCCCGACCTACCCGTCAGAAGTCAAACAGGAAAAGAATGAAGGGTCAATACAGAGCCACAAATGCAACGACGAACTGTCACATCCATCAAACGACGATCACAAACACTGAGTATGGCCTGGGGTCAGACACAGACACTGGACAAGTGGCTGGGGAGACAAAGGAGCTGAGACACAACTTGTGAGAGCTCAAGTCGGGTGAGAGAGGCCCGCGGGCTCATAGAGAACTACAGCCTCATGCGAGGGGCAGAAGGTGTATGTCAGAAGCAATTCCCTCTGCCCGGGGCTTCAGAGGGCTTCACATAGGAGGCAGCCCTTGGCCTGAGTCTCAGGATGAAATGATCAGGGCGAGGAGGATGGCATTTCAGGCAAAGGGAACAGCCTGTGCGGGCACAGGGGCCAGAACAAGTGAGGAACATCGGGTCCACGCAGATTGTTCAGCAGGCGCTGGGACGCTGCAGGCTGGCTGCAGCGCAGGAGGGTAGACAGGTCACACAGGGACTGTCTGCCCCAGTTGGCTCGTTGTCCCCTGGTTTAGGCTTGTTGTCCTAGCATTATAATAATAGTGCTCCCTTTTGCCCTCCAAAGTAACTCTGTTTGGGCAATAAATTGTACAGTCCTCTGGTTTTAAGCAGGAGAGGAGCACGTTCCAGCCTGTGCTTTGGGTGGTCACTCTGGCTGCCACATGGACTAGCTGGGAGGAGCCAGACTAGAGGCTTGATGGTGGCCTTGCAAGGTCTCATCCAGCTCTGGCTTTCTCTGATCCAGACAGCTCTGGACCAGGCGCCACTCCTAGAATAGCACAAAACTGACTTTCACTAATGGGTGAATGCTGAGTGAGCCCACAGATGGGACAGAGTTAAGAGGAGGGTGATATCTCTGTGGCCTGAGGTGTTCTGGGCAGGATTCCTGGATAGGGTGGATTTGGACCTTGGCATGAAGGACGGGTAGGATTTAAATAGTCAGAGGCATGATGTGGACATGGTGTGAGCCAAGGTGCCAAGGTAGGGACAGTCAGGAGTGCAGTGAGCGCCCGGAGAGCCCTTACACAACACGTCAGCAGCCACAGCTGCCCCCAATCACGCCTATAGCTTATAAGCATTTGCTCTTCTCTTCTTTCTCCAGACCCTCCACTTCCCAGGGAAGTGTGCAGAGCAGTGTGTTCACCCGTGTACTCCTGGAGCACTTTGAGCACAGTGCCAGGAGCCTTTCTATATGCACAAGGGGGCTCAGCGTGGGTCTGCCCTTTCTTCCTCTATAGGCTCCCAAGGCCAGCACCAGGCACTCTTACAGCTCCAGGGCTTGGAATAGAGAAGGCACCCAATAGAGTTGGCAGATGGATTGACTGGAGAGAAAATAGAAGCTTGGAAGGCTTGAGTGACTAGCCTAAGGTCATATGGGGAGCAGGTGCTGGCACTGGAGCTTGAACCCAAGATTCTAGAATCTTGTTCTTGCTACTTTGCTGTATGCTCACAAGTACTGAAAACATAGACCTTAGTGTTGTGAGGCCTCACAATTAAGAGGTGATTCCAGCCACATAGGGGTCACATCTGTCTCGCAGCCTCTCCTTCCAAAGGGGCCCTCCCCTTTCACATCTCTGGGTCTTTGCATGTCCCTCAGGCTAGCATGACCTGCCCTTCTATCTCTCTGCAAAACCTCATGCATCCTTCAAGGGCCAGCGGGAATGTCCCTCCTCTGTGGTTCTGTCCCCACCTTCCTGGCTGAGTGAGTGACTCCTCCACAGCACCAGGTTCAGACAGCAGGTGTCAACTTGTAGACGGCATGGCCAGTGGGGTACTTACAGAGTAGAACGCGCAGTAGGTCTGCCTCTGTGAGCCCCTGGGGGCAGGGGACTACATCTTGTTTACCTTGGTTTCCACAGTACCCAGACCAGCTCCTGGTCCATCGTTGGTATTTAATAAATATTTGTTGAATAAATGAGTGAACAAATTGCCAAGCCCTTGCTGGGATGGCATGCTAACTATATCCTTAGCTTAGCTGATTTTCAGCTGCGTTCGGCCCAGGGAGGTCCTGGTGGGAGATTCGCGGCTGGGAGTAGAGAGCGGAGCCGCCGACTCCCCTCCCCCTTGCAAGCTTAGCGGGAGTGTGTGTGTCTGCCCGGGCCGCCGTAACAAAGGACCACAGCCTGGGTGGCTTAGACTACAGAAACGTATTTTCTCATCGTTCTGGAAGCCAGAGGTCCAAGATCAAGATGTCAGCAGAGCTGGTTTCTTCTGAGGCCTCTCTCCTCGGCTTGTAATTGGTCTCCTCTCCTTGTGTCTTCACTGGCCCTCCCTCTGTGTGTCTGTGCTCTAATCTCCTCTTCTTAGAAGAAGCTCAGTCATGTTGGATCAGGGCCCACACTAAAGACCTCATTTTGCTTATTTCTTTAAAGACCCAATCTCCAAATGTAACCACATTCTGAAGTACGAGGGGTTAGGATTTCAGCATACAAATTTGTGGGGGACATGACGCAGCCTATAACAGGTGCTGAAGTCTCCCCACTGTGGTGAGTTCCCGGATGCTGGTCCCTCACCGTGCCCACACCTCTGTGATGGTGTCTTCATCAGCGCTGTGTCGTTTGAACCCTTTGTAAGTGCTCTGGCCATTTTCTGGCAGGCCTCGCACGGGTGCAGACACTGATGGCTGTGGTGCTAAGAATCTACAGCCACTCAGAAGCTCTTCGAGAAGGGCGAGGTTTCGTGCTAAACTCTGTGAGGAATTCAAAGCCAGATGATGGGCCCTTCCCTCGCTGTGCCTCGTTCTCCGCATCTGCAAAGGGCGGATAAGAAAAGCAGTCCCCTCATGTGACCCTTACGAAAGTCTGCTGTGAGAAAGGGCGGGACGGCTTTGGAAACTGGGACTGGGCAGTGAGAGAGCAGGCGTGTGAGTGCAGAGGGTGGGCCCACTCTTCTGGGAGCAGAGAACAGCTCCGCAGCTCTGGATCCCCAGGTCAGGAGGCTGCAGACCAAAGCTGCAAACAGGAGAGGGGCACCAGAAAGGACCAGGCCAGGCTGCTGGCAACAGGAACGAGTGGGGCGGGGGGTGTTTCAATGGTCCCCAGTTGAGTGGTCCTCTCATCAGGATAAATCCTAGACACGACAGACGGTCTGTTTCTTCTTCCTTGGTAATAATGCCCTACCTCATGGGCTTGCTGAGTATCTATGGAAAACAGTCCAGGCAGAGATCCTGGATACATCTATTTATGATGATGTTGACATAGAGAAGACCAGTATGTTCAAGCAGACGCCCTGTTTCCTGTTTCTATAAACATCTTCAAAATGTGAGAAACGACTTCAATGGGTCCATGGGCACAATTTCTAGCTTGCTCTGTGCCAACACAAATCAAGTGTGCATCTCCTCCCAACGAAATAATGCAGATCGTTGATTTAGGTTGGTGAGGACCTGCAAACAGCGTGGATTCCAAGGCAACTCATTCTTGCACGCTGTGATTGGGTTACCTTTCCTCTTTGGAAGCCGAGAGGATCCATCTGGCCTGTGATGCAGTGGAAAGGGCATGGGCTTCAGTGACGGACAGTGTGGGTTCATGGCCGGTGTGGGACCACGTTGTTTAGAGATTTAAGCTTGTTTCCTCCTCTGTAAAACTAGGGTGGCAGAGCTTCCTCAAGAGGGGGAGGGGGTTAAATGAGGTAACACGGCCTTAGCAGGTGCTACTTTACTGATAAATTCAACTTTCTTTCTCTAAGCTCCTGTGTTTTGTTTTTTTTTTTTTTGTCTTGCAATTTTAAATTGGTCTCCAAGTTGGCGGACGCAGAGTCGGCCACAAATCTTGGCATCCAAAGGCCCTTTGAAGCAGCTGCAGCGTGGTTGGGGACAGTGAGCACGGCCCCAGAGCTGACCAGGTGCTCTGTCCTATGGAGCATGGAGCCCACAAAGCCCTTACCTTTGCACTGTCTCCTTCGGATTCTAATCCCCACAACCATCTCTGCTTTGGGACAGGGGATTTACCGACACCTTTAATCATTGTTATGGAATAATCAAAATGCAATAATAACTTAGCACCTAGAGAAGTCAAGTTGCAGCCCATAGCCTTGTACCTCTTGGGGATTAAATTGGCTCATGAGCCACTGGTGGGCCTTGGCAGTTTCTAAGAAAGCATGTTGTCAGCCACCCTCCAACAATCTATTAAGGTTGAGCTTACATGCATCCTTCATGGACCGATTTTTCTGCCAGTCCGTGTATACAATCTTTGGAGCAGCAGGAAACACATGTGGAGGGTCTCTTATGACTCAGCCCTGGGAGTGTCATGTTTAGTGGATTCAGAAGATCTGACTTCAGCCCCTAACTCTGCTACTCACTCACCATGAGACCTGGAGCAATCATTTTCTCACTCTTGGCCTCAGTTTCTTCATTGGTAGACAAGAAATATCATCCCAATCCTAACTAACTCCCAGGCATGCAGGGGAAGACCCAATGAGAAGAGGAAGGTATGGTAGTTTGTAAACCGTGACTGCCACGCATCTCAACTTAAGAGGGCCAAGAAAGAATGTTGATTTCCGCTCCCCAAATCTCAGCCTCACCCCTCCTTGGGTCACAGGCACTAGCACCCACCTCCTCCTTGATTTCCTCATCCATCACACGTCATTCATCAAGCCCTGTTGACTACTTCCTTAGAGATGGAGCCATCAGTTTTATTTAATATATTTATTTTAATATACTTTCAACTCTTTATTTTAAAATAATTTTGACTTACAGAAATGTCACAACAATTATACAAAAATATTTTAATGTACACTTCACCCAGATTCCCCAAATGTTAACATTTTACTGGGTTTGATTTATCTCTCTCTCTCAGATTAGATAGGTGATGGACAGATAGATGATAGATAGGTAGGTAGGTAGATAGGTAGATAGAGATAGACATAGATACATTACGGATATAGACAAATATCTTGTTTCTTCTGGTCATTCAAGTCTCAGCTGAGATGCCACCTCTAAAAAGTCCCCTTTCCTGGCCATTTAACCCCTGTAGCTGTGGTCCCACTCTCTCGTACTCTTCTAATTTCAGATCCCAACAACACTGATCTCCAGCTGGTGTTTTTCTTGGCTGTTTACTTACTGGTCACCTCTCTGCCTCCCCACTGGGATGTCAGTTTTATGGGAGAATTGTCCTGTGTGCCTTCCCTGTTCACTTTTGAATCCTCAAAACCTAGAACAAGGCCTGCACAGAATGGGTGCCTAGTCACTGTTTGCTGAATTGGTGAATTGGGGACGTGCCCATGTGGAGTCCACACAGGCACGTGGCGTGGTCTCTGTGCTCAAGGCGCAGATGTCCCCCAGTGCCGCAGTAGCTGCAGCATCCCCTCGCATCATGGAAACATCTGCTGTATCTTGTTTGAGGAAGGGATGACTGAAGACACAGCTAACATTTTGGTGTAAAGCCTCTGAGAAAGAGAGAGAAAACTATACAAACATGCACACACACAGGAAGAGAGAGCAGGGCCAGCTTAGTGGTGTAGGCATGGCTCCGGACCCCAGCTGCCTTAGTCACATTCAGGTTCTGCCACTTACTACTGTGTGACCTTGGGCGAATTACTTAAATGCTCTGTGTCTCAGGTGCCTTATGTGTAATATATAGATAATAAAAATATCTTCTTCATAGACGTTGCACGATGAAATGTATGACTGTATTTTAAATGCTTAGAGCCATGCCTGGCATCCAGTAAGTGTTCAGTTAACCTCAGCGTAATATGTAATTATATGATTAAGTAAGAACAGGCAGTACATGCTGTTTGATAGCCTTTTTTCATTTGGCAAAATATTCTGAAAATTCCATATCAATACACATTCCTTTACCACATGATTATTAATGGCTAATATTTTTCCATCATATAGATGCACTGTAGCAACACAAGTTTCCTGACTTACCACCATTGCTGGATATTTGAGTTGCTTCCACTTTTTCTCTATTACAAACAACACTACGTTGAACACCCTTGGACATATATCTTTGCACACATCAGCAACTATCCTTCTTATTGCGTTCCTAGAAGTAGAATCGTTGGGTCAAAGGCTGTGCATATTTTCTGACCCAAGATACAGATTCCAAGTGCCTGAGACAGGTTGTCCCAGAAGAGGAATTTCCTTGGGGATCAAGTGCAGAGGCCAGGGTGGGTCCTAATGTCAGCCATTTCCACACTGCCTTCTCTCCCACGGCCAGCCAGGCTGCAGTCCATGTGTCCTGAGGCCACCACAGATTCCAGTTGTCCTGTTTACTAGGCTCTGGGCAGGAAAACAAGCTGGACATTCTCTTCCAAGGACTGTCAGAGACCTTTGCCTTGAACTTCATCTAAGAGAATGAAGACAGCCACATCCAACCTGCTGCTGTCTCACTGCTGGCCTTCCCTCTGACCTTGACTGTGACCCTGTGACCTTGATGGTGGCACTGTGACCTTAACTGTGACCCTGTGACTTTGTGACATTCTGACCTTGACTGTGACATTGTGTGTGCAAAGGCCTCTGTACCCTTTCCTCTGTGCTTGAAAATGGGGAATGGCCTAACCTCGGCAAGGCTTCTCCAAGATGGCAAAATAAACTGTGGAAGCTGCTGTTTCCAAAATGGGTGACCAGTATCCCATTTCCACATAGCACCCCCATCCAGGAAGGTGGAACCTCTGAAAGGGTAAGAGGAAAAGCCGAAGATTTCACAGGAAGAGCCACGGCTCCAGGGCCACCAGGAAGGCAGCTCAGGGCACGTGTGGAGGGACTGCCACCGTGAACGAAGCAGGCAGGAGCACATCTAGGTTTTGTGGGACCTGAATATATGCATTTTGAGGAGCTTTCTTTAAGAAAAGAACATTACAAATATAAAACGCCCACGGCCAATACAACTTACCCAACAGAGGATGTGTGATGGGGGGAGGGCGGAAGAAGGAGGCCATCGTCACCCACTGAGGTTAAAAATCTCACACCGTGCCAACTCTTCGAACAGCACCTGACCTGCGGGGGCGTTCCCAGGCCACTCTGGGAAGTGGCTCCAAAGCGTCGCTTGATTAGCATTGCCCTGTGATTGGAACGTCTTGGAGCTGAAGGCCAGAGGCAGACTCTTGTCTAAACACCATCCCCTATAAACTCCCGCATTCGGGGCGACCTCCACCCCACACGCTGAGACGGAATTTCCTGCCAAATGCAGGTGGGCGTGGCAAGCCAAATTTATTTGATTTAGAAATACAAGTAAATATGCTACTTCTTGCAGAGAAGTGTCCTAAAACATCTTACTTATACCATACTCAGGGAATACCTTTATTTTTAAAAGACAATCAAGCAACATATCCTGAGAAAATTACTTCTCTTCCTGAGTCTGTTTTCCCATCTCAGACATGAGCATGACAAACCCAGGCCCCGGCTCAGTGTGGGAATGAAGTGAGCTACCACACAGAAGATCCTGGCACGGGGACCATTGTTTCCGTGCGTCTACTGGGTCCAGGCCCTTGAGCCAGTGCGGGGAAGACAGAGGTGATGCACCCCAGACCCTGTCCTCAGGCCCTCACGGTCGAACCTCCCTGAGGTCTACTGAAGAGGTTAGCTGTGCAAAACTGAGCTTTGCAAAGCAGGGAGGGGCCTGGCCTGGTGACTGTCAGCTCACAGACGAGAGAAGCTCACTCAGACTGAGGCCCGCAGGCCCAGGGAGGCCAGCCGGCTTTGGGAGCGGACGTGGCGAGGCGGTCAGCCGGGAGTGGGTCCGAGTGCCAGCCTGCCTTGCTGTGTCTTCTGCGGCAAATCACTTCCCCTCTGGGAACCTGAGTTTCCACGAGGATTTGGGGAGAAGCACTAACTGAGAGAAGTACCCAACACAGAACAGGGGCTCAGTAGTTGGAAACGTTTTCTGTTACATCCATCCCCACCCCGATTGAGAATTTGGGGTAAAATCTGGTTCCCTGGGAAGCCATTTCTGAATCCTCTTTCTCTGCAAGAAGCAGACTTCCAGGTCCAAGCAGAGGGCTCGAGAGACTTCCCCCTTCTACTTAATTCTACCGAATTCTATTTAAATGAAGCATCCTCCTTCAAGCAGGAAACTCAAACCACTTCCTCCTGCTAGAGTTCTTTGCAATGTCCCCTTTTCTTAACATCTGGCCAGATGCCCAACTGCAAGGAGCCTGAAGCCTTTGGTTTGGGGACGGCTCTGTGGCACTTTTCCCTGGTTCCTGAGCTGACTCGGGCCAGCGGGTCTGGCCTGAGAAGCCCAAGTCTGCAACCCAGAGCTCCTGCCATGGCACTCCCGAGGCTTTCTTCTCATTAGCATCCTCCAGTCTGCCAGGCAGCCTGCTGCCAAGATGGCAAGCCACACTCCAGGGACTTTTGTCACTCCCAGTATCTTGTCCCTGGATGCCTTTCTCCACGCCACCAGCCATGTCTTTGCTGCAGCTCATTCTCATGAGGACGAGGGACATCCTGAGATCACAGATTGGGCACTGGACTGAGAGTGGGGAGACCTCAGCTCTGCCAGCAACACATGCAGCTGGGATGTCACTAAGCTCCCACTTTCTCAGGTGCAGAATAATGGGGGCTGACCCAGATCGGCCCGAGGGGTCTCCTAAACAGCAGTCCACGCACCCCTCATCCTACCACTCTTTCTGTGAAGGCCCGAGTGCCCTGTTCATTTGAGCAAAAAGTTTAAAATTCAGGACTCCTCTTGAAGTCCTTCTTTCACTGAGTACCAGCCGCAGACTGGGCCCTATGTCAGGGCCTAAAGATCTTTAAATGAACAACAACGCCCTGCTCTGAAGGAGCTCCCAGATGAGAAACAGGGACACGCAAAGATGACAAGAAAGGGGCTGATGCTAGAAAGGAGCACAGAGCCGACAGCCACTTCCCCCTTAGAGCCTCGTCCCAGAGGAGGAACCACACTGAGTCCTGAGGATGAAGTTGGAGAGCCCTGAGTTCAGAGGAGGTGAGGGAAGGAGAGTCTAAGAAGAAGGAACGGCATGCGCAAAGCCAGGTCAGAGGTTTGGAATTAATCCCACGTGGCCACTGTGCCAGGGTCATGCCACGAGCAGCAGAATGGTCCAGCAAAGAGGATGGGACATGTGCTGGAGGTCCTGGGCCTCAGCCCTCCCCATGCAGAAGGAGACCCATCTGTCTGATGGCAGCTCGTGGAGGTTTCCAGGGCAATCTGATGAGGAGGTGCTCACCAAACCCAGGAAGCAGGAGCGACTTCCGGGCACCAGCTCCCAGCCCAGCGCCGGCCCGGGGCTCTAGGCGTTTCCCTCCAGAGTCTCCGACTGAGACTTGAAGAAAACAGTCTTAAAAGTCAGACAAATATTTAGAGTTTTACAAACTCAGCCTACAAATCGGGAGGAATTGGGAAACTCGCGTGTCAGATGTGCGGTCTGTTCTCTACAATCCAAAGCGGGCTTGGTTTCCGGGAGGGCGATGACTCTCCTGCCTGCTCACTGCTACGGTGGGACCACGTCTGAAGAGGCGGTGTTTCACATTAAGGCGACGGAATTTAATGAAACAAAGGAGAAAAAGTGGCATCAATTTGGTGTTAGGTGAGAATCAAAAGAAATATATTGCTGAATTGACTACAGTCGTTCCAGCCTTAACTGCTGCCCAAGGGAAAAGTGACATTTCCCATCTCCTGGTCCCCTTCGCTGGCCCCATATTTTCACCCTAATATATTCATTCCGAAAAAATCAGAGCTTGCTCAGCAAAAGGAAGATGGAGTCCCTGTATCTTTCATCCCTGCCTTCCCCATGAGAAGGGAACTGGCATTTCCTGAGGACCTGCTCTGGGCCCGTGCTTTATCTACACTGGACTTTCATCTAATGCCTAACCCTCCAAGGAGCCCACGATTTTCTCCAAGGCTGAAGCAACCAAGGCTAGAGAGGTTAGATGAACTTGTTAAGGTCATGTAGCTCATGAAATATTGTGTGTGACTGACCGAGTTAGGATTCTGATCCCCATTCTTTTCTGACACTAGAGCCCCACGCCCTGTCCACCTGCCCCACTGCCTTCCTATAATCCAGAGATTTGCTTCAAGGAGTGGCTGTCTAAGCACAGTATCTATAAATGAAGGGCTTTCAAAGCAATGGAATGGTATAAGCCCCATTTAAACATTCATTCATTCATTCAACAAATAATTACTGGATGCTGTGATGTGCCAGGCATTTCCAGCCAAATAGGCGAACCCCTGCCCTTGCGTAATTCACATCCTATGAGAGGGACAGTGTGATGGGCGTGAGCAAGGAGTTGGGAGCCAGACTCCTGGGACCACATCTTAACTCAGCCACTTGTGAGCTGTGTGACCTTCAACACATTACCTAACCTCTCTGTGTCTCAGTTTCCTCATCTGTATAGAGGGGCAAATAATACCACCTCCGTTTAAAGTTGTTATGGGGTCTGAATGAGCTGGTATTTGTCGAGCATTTACAAATGAGTATCATTAAATAAATAGTAAGGGAACGTAGGTAATAACAAAGTAAGTAAGATATATAGTGTATTGCAGGATGCGGAGTGTGAAGGTGGACAATGAATCAGGGGATGGGGATGGAGCATGTTGGTGGGGGGTCTGCCTGTTGGTTAGGGTGGCCAGGGAAGGCTGCACTGAGAAGGTGTCATTTGAACAAAGACCAGAAAGTCAGTGAGCCAACAGGAGCTGTGTGTAAGCCTTTCCCTGGTGGTTTGGAAGATGCCAGAGGCTTCTGGGGCCCTGCTCCGACTCCTAATTATGAACACCAATTCCCTGAGATGATCAATTTAGGGATACGGTTAACAAATGGCATCCTTACATTGTGATGTGATATAAATCATCAGTGTGTTGGTAAAAGGCTCATTCTCTCAGGTGGTCTCAGAAACCAGCGAAAAGGCCTTATGCCGTAAGGGATAAGGTTATTTCTGGAATATTCCTTTATTATAAGAACAAAATTACATCGTACATTCACAGTCCTTATCTCACAGATAAAGTTTGCCTAGCTGGCTCCAGGGACCCATACACAGTGTGCACATGTCCTGACCTTGACTTTTTCTTGGACCACACCTGCCCGAGATCCTTCGGTCTTGGGACTGGGGTGGGCGCCCGGACGGCACTGTTCAACCATCCCTGAGTGAAAAGGATCCAGGCCAGCCACATGCCTGCTCTCCTGACCACACAAGGAGTGCCGCTTCAAAGGCTTTTTAGATGCCAGAATAGTCAAAGAATAATTTTATTTTGGTGTATTCCCCATATGCTGAGAATCATCTTTTTTATGCTTCCAAGGCCTAGAAATTAGGGACGTGGTTAAAAATTTCATCCTTAATATTGTGATGTGAAATAAAGAACGCTGGCCTGGGAGGGTGGGGCAAGGGTCCACCTCCCGGCTCCAGCATGGACTCCCATGTGTCTGTGGACATCACAGCTGGTCTCTGGTTCTCGTCTCTTTGTCTATAAAATGAGGAGATAAGGGGGAAAATACACGCACACACACACACCCTGCTCTTTCTTTATTTCTTGCCTGTTCTGGACCAGGCGTATGACGCATATTGTCTCATTTTAAAATCACAACAATCCTAAGTCAGTGTCCTTGTTACACTGCAGGTATAACGTCACGTAGGGGGAAGAGGCTGAGGGAGATTGTAGCCCTGACCTGACTCCAGCTATGAAGGTGGAATCGCTGAGGCCCTCTGAGAATCTTTCCAAGACTCGGACTCTGATCCAGAGACTGTAGGCGCTATTCAGTCTTGCTTTCTGGGGAAGGCATCCCATCCCCTTGCCTACTCCTTTTCTGCAGCTTGAGTTGTAAGTAATCTCTCTTTTCCTCCAGTGTCCATCTCATGGGTTTTGGCCCAGCTATGAAGACCCTCTGGCAAAAGGAAAACAGCACAGATTGGCAGGCAAGTGACAGAAGTGGCCCGAGGCAATCCTCCGCTTCATCCTCTTGCCCCTGGAGGCAGACCAGGCTAAACACAGAAGCAGGGCTTCAAAGGAGGGGCTTGGAGCCTCCCCACAGTGACTCACTGGGCTCCAGAGGAAGCCGGGGTCTCCCGGGATCAGCAGTCGGCCTTGAGGTGGTTCTCTGGAAGCCCTCTCCCATGGCGATGAGAGCAAAGAGAGGCCGTGTGGTCTCAGGGAGAGACCCCGCATGTAGCGCAGCCTCTAATTCTCTGCGTGACCTCGGGCGAGCTGCTTCCTCAGTTCTTACAAAGAGGGCGTTGGAGCTGTAGGGTGAGCAGCAGCTTACAGTTTGGGAATGAGGCAGATGGAGCCTGGATCCCAGTCCTGCCACTTGTCAGGGAATGTGAGCTGTCACCTTTCCACCAAGGCACTCAGCATCTCATAGAGAGCTCCTGGCTCTGCACTTGCATCCTCCCCAGGGGGCAGCCTGGGTCGCTTGCCGCCTCTGGGCCTCAGCTCCCTCCTCTGTCGAGTGCACAGCAGAACACAGGCAGTGTGAACACTGGAGGTCACGGACACCAAGTGTCTGCTCCGGAGCAGGCCTTCGGGAGCTGTTAGGCCCAACTCCCCGCCCCTCCGCTAGCCTCAACTGGACCGTCGACGCAGCGCTTCAGGACGTGCCCCAGCCCATGCCACTGCGGAGCAGGTCTGTTCCGAACCAGACCACAGCCAGAGATGGGTCTCCAAATCCCGCCTCCACAGCCTGACTTACCCACGACTGGCATCGGAGGCCCACAGCCTGGAGTGGAACAGGCCTGCATTGCACGCACACTCCACAGAGAGATGACGTGGACAGGACAGGGCAATTCAACACTGCCACGGCCCAGGGAACCCAGGCCTCCTCTCCTAAAGGCAGGAATCAGATGCACTGAGTCCAGGAAAGGGTGGCTTCCCCAGGTCAGCAGCCGATCTGAGGCTTTTGCATATTCAGACAGGAGGGAGGAAGAGGGTTCCCTCACCCCTCTCTGGCAACCTTTTTCCTTTTTATACCTGCCTCAGGCAGAGAAAAGCAGAAAGGAGTTCAGAAAGTCGTGCCTGCCATTGCTAACATTTTCATTTTCACTTGAGACCCAGACAATCAAAGAAGAAACGGAAGCTTATCAGATGTCTCCTGCTGCTGGGCTGAGCCACACCAGTGCCTGCAGTAGGTAAGAAAGCGCCGTTTCCTGCCCCGGGGGCCAGATCAAGGGCAGAGGCAAAGTCAAGGGTGCTCCCTGGTGATGCTGACACACTTCTTTATTGAGACGACTACAGAGCCAGTGAATTTATGTCAGGACTCAGCTTCTCACCTGCCAGAGGCGGGGAGGCCCCCCCATCCAAGGCTCAAATCGTGCCCCAGGTGTCCAGGGGCTCTACCTGGGTGTTCGGGTGGGGTGCTATCAGAGGGTCAGGACAGTGTACTGAGTCTTGAAGGATGAGTGGGTACTTTGCAGGCAGTCAACGACGAAGGAAGGGCAGTGCAGACGGAGGCAGCTCCTGAACAGAGACGGGGCGGTGAGGCGAGGCCGGTGCGCTCAGAAGAGCAGTGAGCAGTTCAGCTGCCGTTAGGGCTCAGGTTGTGAGGGGCAGAGAGGGTGTGAGGGCTTCCTAACATGTACTGAGCATCTGAATCTGCCCAGCTCTGTCTCTCATTTGGTTTTACGTGACCCCCTCACCTCACAAGTTGGGTCATTATCCCCATTTTACAGGTGTGGCAACTGAGGCACACGGTCTAAGTGAGAATTGCCAGAGGTCATGCAACTGAGTTCGAATCTCAAACCACATCCACCAGAGGGCAAAGCCCAGGCTTCTGCGCTCTGTGTCGTTTCTTTCAATCCCACCATCCCACATTCATACCTTCACCAAGTCTCGTTAAGCCCTGCCATGTGTCAGGCACTGTTCTAGGCTGGGGACACAGCAGCTACCCAGACAAGGACCCTGCCCTCGAGGAGTTCCCACGCCAGTGGAGGGGCATCTGAACAAATGCCCGTGGTAATTTTGGATAAACTGAGTGCTATGGAAAAAATAAAATAATGGGAATGAGAGTGACTACTGTGGGCATGGAGAGGGGAGAGGGCAGGACGTGTTTCCCTCGGGTGCTTAGGGAAAGGCCCCCGGAAGAAGGGATGTTTGAGTGAGCCCTGAATGATGAGAAGGTAAACACGGGGAGATGGGGGGAGACATCCCGCAGGCAGAAGGAAGAGCAGAGGTCCTGGGCTGGGCAGCAGCTTGTGTGTTCAAGGGTCCGAAAGAGGCCGGAGAGGCTAAAACAGAGGGAGCCACGGGCATACACAGTAGGAGATGAGGTCAGGAGCACGGAGAAGGGCCGGTTCACGGGGTGCAGAGACCGCAGTTAGTCCTGTGTGAAGAGGGTCTCAGGACGGAATGTGGAGTGAGTAAACTGTCCGCATTAGAAGGGCAGCCTCCCTGCAAGAGCCAGCCTTGCACGAAGGGAACATCCCCACTGGGCCTCTTCCCAACTGTGTGGCTGTGGGCAAGCGCCTTCCCCCTCTGGACCTTGGCCTCCTTCCGTGTAAAGCGGAGATTATAACACCTGCCTCACAGACCAGGGGTGAGGATTCGACACCGTGGACTGGCCCATCCCCTGCCGCTGCAGAGAGTTAACGGAAAACCTCCTTGGCGACCACGGGGCATCCAGATGCTCTTGCAGCTGGTCACTAGAAGGACTTGGGCGATCGACTGCTTGGCCAACAGGTCATCCCCCGTCCACGCCGACGTGGCAGTGCTGTGCAAGCAGTCCCTCTCAGGGGCTGCCCACTGAAAATGGCCCGGCTGCTGCTTCTGAGAGAACCGGCTTCAGACTCTGTGGCAGTCTCTGAGGGTCCCAGGAAGGACCCTGCGGCTAGATGTGATCCTTCTCAAACTTCGGTGTGCACGTGGGTGGCTTGAGATCTAGTTAAAACGCAGCTTCTGATCCAGTAGGTCTGGGGTGGGGCCTCAGATGCTGCTTTTCATAGAAATTCCCAGGGGATGCAGGTCCAAGGACCACACCTTGAGTAGCAAGGATTAGAGCCAAGTGGCTTCCAAGGCATAGACAATATTGAATCCACTACAGAAAGATTGCAAAGCAATTGCCTGCTTTTAGTCATTTGTCATTGAATTCATTAAATAAACGTTCGTAGCATGCCTCCCGTGCCCTAGGCCCATGCTGGGGAGTGGGATGTCGGGGTCAGGCTTGCCCTCACAGAGCACGTCTCCTAGCAGCAGAGCCGAATAAGCGAGTCATCAGGATAACCTCGGCACAGGGCGTGGGTGGGCCGGGCTATTAGGGGAGCACAGGGCTTGAGAGGGTCAGGGAAGACCTCTGGGATGAAGGGACATTCAGGTGGAGAGTGGCCCAGAGAAGGAGGGGCACTGCAGGCACAGGGGACAGCACTGCGGGGGGCAAGGCCACCCAGCCAATCAGGCACAGGCTTGATTCAAATCAGATCTGTTGGATCCAAGATTTGTTCTTACTAGTATCTTCCATGCCTTGTGAGTCAAGTCTAGCAAAAAGCTGCCAGCTGTCCTTCCCCAGAGGTGTCAGAGCAGCTGGCTCCAGAGAGGAAAGCCATCTGGGAGCAGAGGCCCCAGCCTCGCCCGACAGGCATGACAGTTACGAAACCTGCCTCTGGCCCACACACGCTGCCCCACCACCACCACCCAGGCTTTGATTCAAGTGTCCTTCCTCCTGAAGACTCGTGACCGGGAAGTGCAATCACCCTCCAATTGCGGCTAATAATGGCCCCGACTTTTTTCTTTACCAACAATGAACTTTGAAACTTGGGTGGTGGTAGCCAGCCACATCAGCGGGTTATCCACGGGGTAAAGTTCATCAGAAAATGAAAGTCCAGAGACCTGAGAGTTTCCAGGACTCTTTAAGGGGAGAAAAGACAGAAATTCACCTGAAACAAGCTCCCTGAGAATGGCAGACAGCACACAGACCCTCTTTCAGTTAAGTAGAGGTGGCAGATAGAACCTGCCAGGGAACTCCGGATGCGGCCATGTGACTTTGGGCAAGTCACTTACCTCGCTCAGCCTCAGTTTCCTCATTCATTAAATGGGGCTGAACCCCTACTTTACCTCCCTATAGCAATCTTCATAAAATGCTAAGCTCGGTGAAAGGCATATTGTAAGCACCTGATATATGAGAAAGAAAGAGATTCTAAAGGGTTAAGTGATTTCTCCAGTCCCAAATCAGGTAGAGAATAACTCAAATTTGAAATCAAGTCCATCTCTGAAGCTCCAGTCTTCATGCTCTCCTTGTGTGAGCATTATACCCTTTGCCATTAGAGTCTGTAGGGCGTCACACAAGAGGCAACAAATATACATCCCTGCCCAGTGATAATGGGCTTGACCACTGACTCATTGTGAGCCAACGAAGGTGGTGGAAGTGACGGACGGCAGTTCTGGGCTGAGATCTCAAGGGAGCATCTCTTTCATCACATTCTTTCTGCTCACATGCTCGTTTACTGGGAGAAGAGCAACCAGGCAGAGGTTTCAGCCTGGCCCCCGGAATGAGGCAGCTGAGCAGGCCAACCTGAGCCAATGCCCCCCAACCTGCACCTGCACCGTGCCACCCACCAAGCCTGAAACCCATGAGTGAGGAACAGCACTGGTAACCGTAAGCTGCTCAGTATCGGGCGGTTTGTCACATAGCAGCCTTGTGGCAAAGCTGACTAACACAGCTCCATGAAGGAGAGTAGCCAAGCCGGGCCAGCTCTGCAAGTACTTCCTGAGTACCTCCTATGTGTGATGGGAAGTAAAATGGAGTTTAAAATCTGCCCTCTGCCCTCCAAGACAGTTTCATTGTTCCTTCTAGCTCCTTTGCCAAGCACAGTCTTGACAGAAATCACAAGTCCTTATTTTATAACAAATAAACAAATAAACAAATGAGTGCACGTGTTCATATTGTTGAAGAGAAAGCAGAGCTCCATGAAACCAGACCCAGCCGTATGTATGGAGGTGCATATTTTCCCAGACCTCAGCAGCGGTACAAAGAGCCTTTCCAGGGGCACGTGGGACTCGGCTGGTCCTCCAGGGGCAGGAAGGCTCTGAAGAGGCGGACAGCCTTCCCGCCGAGTCACAGCGCTCTAATGTGCAGGTCTCTTCGCTGGGGTGGAGAGGAATCAGAGAGATCTGGGTTCAAATCCTCAGGCTGCTGCTTTCTGACTGTATGACCTCGGGCAGGCCAAACGTCTGTGACCCCCAGGTGACACCCCCTCCCCCCCCAGCTCTCTCCCCATTGTCTGGGACTGGCGGCTCCACCTTCATCTGCCTCTGAGGACCCTTCTCGACCCCTCCCACCAAGAACTCAGACTTCCCCTCCAGTAGGTCCCAGCTACATGCAAATGAAACAGCTCCAGCCCCACGGGCACTCTGGGGGCCTTATTTGTGCATCTTTTTCTCATGACAGACACTGAGCCACCTCAGGACAGGGCAACACCTTCTGCGTCCCTGGATCCCAGCGCCCAGCACAGTGCGTGGTACGAGAGAGGCTTAGTCAATCCTGGCTGAGTTTAACTAAACTAAGTGGAATTGCCCCAAATATCATCCAGGGATAAAGTATTTTAAAGTACAGTTTCTACATTGCTTTTAAAAAGAGTCTCAGGAATAAACACACAAAAAAGAGACACACACGTTTCAAAGCATGTCACATAAACACCCTTGTACGCGAGCGAATCTATGGCCTCCCGTTTCGGGCCTGCAGCGTCCCTCTCCGCCCACCCTGGCTTTGGCCTGGACGCGGTGTCACAGACTCCCCACAGGCAGCCTGCTGGGTTTGGATTTAGATTTGTTTGTTTGTTCCTTTCATCAGACCTGAAACTGAAGACACAGACCTTTCTGAAACCTTCTCTTGGCTGCAGCTCCATGCTCCGTGTCACCTGCTTGGATCCATAATGCGCCCAGAGCCACAGTAACAAGCTGGTAAACAATGGACTCCTTCTAGAAGGAGATAAAGGGAAGCTTAGGACGGACCAAACAGTCTGGGAACTGTCTGTGCCCCAGGCCAGGCCCCCACTCTCCCAGAGCAGACTAGTCTGATGGGTCTAGCCTGCGGGCTGACTTCCAACATCAAAGGGGTAGTTTCCCCTGGAGGGGAAACTGAGGCACACAAAAGCGAAACAAAATGAACTAAGTTGTGCTGGTGACTTGGGTGAAGCTCGTAGGAACCTAAGTCCTGGGGGAGGTGGTGGCAGCTGCCTTATTAAATGGAGCTTTCGGGTCCGACTCAGCTTACATTCAAATCCTGGCTCTGCCAAGTCCTCCTGGGCAAGTTACCTAACTTCTCTAAGGCTTGTTTCCTCACGCACCAACTGGACAGCATCTACCCTGCAGGGCTACCACAGAGATTAAATGAGGCCACGTATGTGATGGGCCAAGCACTCCGGAGGAAATTAATCAGCGGAGGGTTTGCCATCATCACAGAGCTTCCAGCCCCGGAATGAAGCAGCCTGTCAGTTCACAGCCAGTCCCACCCCTCCCGGCTCCCCCTGAGGCTGGTCTCCTCCAGGGCTGCCTCTCCCAGCCTGTGCCGGCAGGTTCCCGAGGAGCCTGCTGCCTCCTGGACAAAGTCTCACTGCTAGAAAGTTCTTCCTCAGGCTGACTCTGAAGAGAGTCTAAAAACTGTCCCTCTGGAGCTTTCACCCTTTGGCCCTTCCCACTCCGGGCTACTAAAAACAGGTCTACACCTCGAGCCCCGCCGAGCCTTCTCTGTAGGAGGAGACAGTGCTCAGGCCCTCCTGGAGATGGCTCCAGAACTCTCAAGGCTTAACCTATATATACACACATACACGTGTGTGTGTGCGTGTAGGCAATCACGAGGAACTACATAGACGTGTACAAGAGGAGCCTATCCAAGACCCAGAAGGTCCAGGAGCTTCTTAGAGGCAGGACGCTGAAACTGAGGAGGAGCTGTGAAGTGGTCGCGCAAAGTCCTCAGCCCGCAGAGAGGAGCCCGATACTCCAGAGCATGTCTCCTCAGCTGCAGCAGAGTGGCAGCTGACATCCGCAAAGCGACGTGGCACAACTGTTGAACTTTTGTTCCTTCACTGTTATTAAAAGGTACCTTTCCAGGGGCCGGCCTCGTGGCCCAGTGGTTGAGTTTGACGTGCTCCACTTCAGCAGCCCGTGTCTGCTTCCCACATGTGGACCTACACCACTTGTGGGCAGCCATGCTGTGACAGAAAGCCACATACAAAATAGAGGAAGACTGGCACAGATGTTAGCTCAGGGCCAATCTTCCTCAGCAAAAACAAAACAAAACAAAAGTGTACCTTTCCAGGCCAGTTTCCTGAGCAGGCTGGTCCAGTTCTCCTGGCGGCGTTTGGCTCCGCTGACAGCTTTAGGAGACAGAGAGACCTGGTTGGCACCCAGGCTCTGTCACTCACAAGCTGGGCGACCTGATCCAAGTTAGACCACTCTTCTGAGCCTCCGTTTCCCCTCTGTGAAACGGGGCAGGACTGCCTGTTCCCAGGGCTGGCAAGTGGACTGGACGAGGCGGCGTGGGGAAGCACGCAGCCAATGTCCACTGTCTCTCCTTGCCTGACAAGGCGGCGCAAGCTGATCTGACGCTGGGCATCCCTTAACAGTTACTCATGTTGTAACAGGAGGCACCTTCAAAGGCATTTGCACTGAAGGTAGACAGTCCCAACCAGTTCAGCGAAGCGCCAGCCCTACCGCACCCTCTGTGTGCAGGCCCTGCGCGTGCTGGGACCCGGGAGTGAGCGGGCGCTGAGGCAGAGGCGCGCTGCGGACAGGAGGAGGGGCGACTGTGATAGCTGCTGTGACAAAGTTTTGTGAACACACAGGAAGGAAGCCTTCAACCCTTCGTGGGTGACCAGCTGAGGCTTCACAGTGGAGGTGGCAGATGTCTCTAATGGTGGCAGAGCCCCATAATGTCACAGGGCAACTACTGCCCCAGCACCCCAGATAGCTTCCCTGGGTCTACACAGACCGTCTAGAACCTCTCAGCAGATAAATCCTCTACATTTGTAAACCAGAGGATGGCAATCCCCATCCCAAAAATCTGCCACAGCTTGTTGTTCTTAAAACCCCAAATCCTCCCCCCATGGCCCCTGAGGCCCTCTGTGATGGAATCCTGGCTTCCTCTGCAGTCCCACAGGCAGCTCCAACCCCTCCAGGACGAGTGCCCATGTGGGACCCTGGCCTGCCCTCTTAGGAGGCACCCAGGTTACAGGAGAGGAGAAGAGGGGCAGCCCTGCACCCTGGTCCTGGCTGGGCGGGGTCTCTTGGAGGAGCCTGGACAGCCTCCGCGGAACACTGATGGGAGTCAGCGGGAGACAGGCAGCCTGCGACAGCGACAGCAACAGCGCGGAGCAGGGCTGTGCTCAGAGGCGGGGGCAGGTCAAGGAAACCAGCAAGAGAGGTCAAGGCAGCCCCCCCGGGCCTAGAGCAGCGGGAAGCCCACACCCCTCTTAGCGATCAAGCAGAAGAGAAGGAAGGTGCTCTGGGGGGCCTGAGAGCCGGAGCCAAGGAGGAGCAGCCAGGGAGCTACAGCTGTCCTGGTCACAGCCAATGTCAGGACAGTGGAAGAAGGAGCAGACGGAGAGAGGGATGGATGCCTGACCTCTCTCCCCGTACACTCCTCTCTCCTGCTGCAGCTTCCCTGTGGCCAGATCCGGCCAGAATTGAGAGCCCAAGGGGGTCTGGGTGATGCGTTCTTAGGGGGCAGCCCTCAGCTCAGAGCAGCCAGAGAGGGCAGAAAATTGATCAGATGGGAATGCCCACAAGAAAAGAATCACCACCCCAGCAGGCGTCCTGGCGTCCTGCAGGGGGACGAGAACATCCAACCCTGAGGAGGTTCAACTCATCCCCAAGAAAGGGAAGGCCATATAAGGGCAGAGGGGGACGGGCTGGTGGGCAGCTTTCCCAGCCAGGCTGGGGTGTTCACATAGCATCCGGATTCTGTGTCCGGAGCCCCTGCCAGACTAGTCCACAGGGCTACAGACCTCTCATTCCCTGGCCCGCGCACAGCTGCGGAGGGCAAAGGGGTTGTTCTATGATCCTGGCGCTCGCCATCTTGCCGGCTCCTTCCCCAGGACCCAGAGCTGGGTAGGCAACAGAGCCCTTGGTGCCATCCATAAGAGAGGCAGAGACGACTCAGATCCAACAACAGAAATAATGGTAAGAATACTGGTGACAACAGCAACATGGTGTCTAACACGTTCCCATGTGTTCTTGCCATCGCTGCAGCAGCCCTGCATTCAGCTGCTCCCGTGGGCCAGAGACTGTGCTCATCCCTTCCGTTACACAGTCCTCTCCAAGCCCTCGGAGGGGGTGGTATGATGATTCCCATTTAAAAGATGAGAGTGGGACCCAGAACAGGTAAGCAGCTGTCTGAAGTCACTCAAGCCACACCTGGGTTTGCTGGCTGCAAGGCCAGGCTGTTAACTCCCATGCCACACTGTCCTCTAAGCCACCTGAGCCCACAGATGAGTGGGAGAGAGAGGCAAGATTCTGGCAAACGTTTTTGGCCAGAGTCGGAGCTCGCCTCTCCAGAGTGTTCTTGCAACACTTGCCTTGCATGCTCTATTTTCTGGCCATGCCAATCTCTGTGGCATTCTGATCTCACCTAGCTTTCTATCACCCCTGGGCCTTTGCACAGGCTGTTCCCTTTGCCTGAGACATTGCTTTCCCCCTTCACCCCCTCCTGGCTTGACTCTCTCCACCTTGGTTTACTACCACTTGCTCCATGGAGCCCTGCTGCCCATCCTGGTCCTGGATAGGTGCTCCTCTTGGGAGCACTTGAAGCCCCTTATCCTGCCCCACCACAAGACTCAGGCCGCCGTGTGGTCCTGAGCATGGGCCTGTTCCTCACCCCAAGGCTGCAAACGCTGCAACAGCTGAGACACACCTATCTGGCTCACCCCCATGTCCCAAGAGCCCCCAGTGCCAGGCACGAAATGGGTGCTCAGTTAATGTGTGGCAGTTGGACACCAGCACAGACTCAGCACGCTGCAGTCACATAGAGAAGCACGCTGCAAGGGCCAGCAGGAAGGAAGTGGCTCTCTCCACAGTCGGAGGTGGGAGCCGCCAGGGCCTCCAGGAGGGACTCCCAGAGAAAGGGCTCCCTGCATGGGAAGGCTTTTGATGGCACAAAAGAAAGGGAAAGGTGTTCCAGGTAGAAGGAATAGCATGCACAAAGGCCCAGAGGAACGAAAATGCAAGGGGAGTCAATTGGAGTGAATGACAGGAGGGCCCATGGAGATGAGACCTAGAAGGGAGATAGGGCCAGCCTGGCGAGGGGCGCCTAGAGAGCAGGAGGCCAAATTGTGCGGTAAAGAGCACAAGCTTTAGGCTCAGACGGATCTGAGTTTGGGTCCACATTTTTCCATTTCCTGCCTCTGTGATCTTGGGTGGGTAGCCTAAACTTTTTAAGCCTCGGTTTCCTCATCTGTAAAATGGGACAATGATAGCACCTGCCTCCCAAGAGAATCAAATGGAGTGATACATGTAAACTGTTTTGCACAGTAGGCAGCATGTGGCAAGCGTCAACAAGTGCCATCCCTTCCTGGCCACGCTGTCCCTTCTGACAACTCGGGGGGTGCAGGGGTCTATTCGAGGTTTTGTCGAGGAGGGAGACAGAAGTTGTTCGGAAGGTTTGTGGAAGGGAGGAAGGGAAGCAGGGAGCTTCAAACTGACCTTAAAGAAAGGGCTCAGAGAGGTGACACAGGGGTAGGGGACACGTGCGAGGGTGGGGGACCTCAGCACAGGGTCTGTCTGGGGCCAGCACGGAGGCGGCCCCGCAGGAGGGGGCGGGAGTGGGATGAGTGAGGGAGCATGGAGGGATGCAGTGCTAGACCGAGCAGGACCTCTGGAGCCTGCGGGCCAGAGTGTGTGGGCTCCTGCTTCTTCCGCTGTTGAAATGGGCTAGGCATTACTGCCTCAGTGGCCTGTTGGGCTCACCAAGTGAACCCTGTCAAAGCCCCTGCACATGGTGGCTGCAGTCATTAAGAGAGGGCACATCATTTATGGATGTCTCTGTAGCCCAAGAGAGTGAAGCCAGAGCGGGACAGGAGCAAGGCTGGGCCCACACCTCCCGGGGGAGGGGCTTCCCTTGGCTCCTCCCCGCATTGGCTGCCCCCCCACAGCAAACCCGGACCTCCCCCTGAGCTGGCAGCCCTGAGTGTGCAGCCCTGGCCTCCCAGATGCTCCCAAGGCTCACCGCTCCCCCTGTCAGGGGCAGGTAGAACCGGATGTGACCAAACTCTCTCTGACGATTCTCAATTCCTGTGAAAACTCTGGGGAGAAGAACTGAGAGGAGAAAAAGAACAGAAAGGGGTTCGGCGTCAGGTCCGAGCCCATCCAGCGCTCCCTGTTTTGGAAGTGTTGGGTACTGGCATCATTGTCTCTTTGCCCCCGCCTCATCCACCAGAGCAGGAAACACTTTACATAGGTAATCCCCATTTTCTAGGTGATGAAACTGAGGCACAGAGGGGTTGGATAACTTGCCCAGGGTCACTCAGCCAGTTAAGTGGCTGAACCAGGAATTTTTATCATAATCTGTGACTGAGGCAGACCAGAAAAGCCGCATCAGATGCCACTGCAGAGCCTGGTTATAGACACGCATTGTATCTCTTTTGCCACCTCCATAGTCCATGACAAAGAGGCCTCCTGAGGGTGGAAAACTGCCCCTTGCAGAAACCATTCTGGGCAAGACAATTCCTACTCTGGGTCTCAGTTTCCCCGTCTGAAATATACTCCTGCCCACTCTGATAGCTCAGGATGAAGTCAAGGCCACAGAACTGCTGAGGGTCAAACACGGCCAGACACACCTGCTTTCCTGATATCTCATCTTGGGTCACATCCTTTCCAGGGAAAGCTCCAGCAGAGGGGTCAAGGGTTATACAGACAGAGAGAGACAGAGAGGGAATTCCCCTTCCTTCGCCGCTATCCTGAAACGGGGAGAGACAAGACACCTCGGGCAAGCAGAAGTTTGGGCGGCTGGTGACACAGGTTCCCACTCGAGGAACGCCCCACAGTGCCTCCCCCACCCCCGGCTCCTCCTAGGATACAGTGCAAGGTAAAGAGCGTGGGCTCCAGCGGCACACGGGGGCAGGTCTCTGCTCTGCCGCTTATAGCTGTGCGGCCTCAGGCAAGTTACTTAAAATCTGTGTGCCTCAGTTTCCCCCTGGTTATTGAGAGGAGAGTGAGGCAGTCCATGAGAGCGCCCAGCACGAGCCTGGCCCGGAGCAGCGTTCTCTCCAGGGCAGCGTCTGCACTGCATCTGTGCGCTCTCCTCCCTCTCTCACCCGTTGGCGTCTCCTCAGCCTCCAGGACAAACACGGTTTGGAGCTTTCCTGGATGGTCCCCCTCCAGCTAGTCCTGGCCCTGGGCAGGAACTAAGGGAAGAAAAAGAACACCCTCCTTTCAATTCCTAAGATGAGCTCAAACTTGGTGGCGTAAAGCCGCATGCTGTCTTGTGCTGCTGCTGGAGGTGGGAAGTCCCGAGCCGGCGGCACTGGGCTGAAGTCATGCCGACAGACAGAGCCGGCCCTTCTGGAGGCTGCAGGGGAGGGTCCCATTCTTTGCCTTTTCCACTTTCATTTTTTCTTCCCTTCCCAAAGCCCCCCAGCACATAGGTGTATATTCTTGTTGAGAGTGCCTCTGTTTGTGCTCCTTTTCTACTTTCTAGAGGTGCCTACGTGCCCAGGCTCAAGGCCGCTTCCTCCGTCTTCAAAGCCAGCAGTGCAGCATCCTCTCACCTGGGATGATCCAAGATAATCTCCCCATCTCAAGACCCTTATCTTAATCACATCTGCTAAGTCTTTTTTATCATGTAAAGTGACATACTCACACATTCTGGGGATTAGGACCTTGACGTATTTGGGGGGGGCCATTATTCTGCCTACCACAGCCAAGCCCATGACCCTGGCCCTCTGGCTGCCCAGGGCCTCAGAAAAGAGAGGGACCAGGTTGCCAATCTTCATTCCTGGAGACAGCTGGGAAGTCAGTGGACATTATTCCCTTTTGGATTCATATACACTAAGCTCAAGTTGATAGAATTGAGGCCTGGATGTGACACAGCTCATCTCAAGTCCAGGTGAGGTGGTGCCCCCTTTCCCCTGCCCCCCAGTGAGGCCAGCTGCCAGTTACCTTTCTAATGTTCCCAGACTCCAGTCAACCTCACTCCAACCCAGCCTCAACGCAGCCTCCGGTATGATCTCGTTAAAACAGAGCTGGCCACCCACCTCTCCTGCTTGAAATTCTTCCCAGGGGCCTTGCTGCTTCCAGGATGAAATTTAAACTCCCTGTCTGGCTCACTGGGACCTTTTGGACCCAGACTCTGCTTGCCCCACTCCCAGCCTCCTCTCCCATCGTTCTCCCCTCCTCCACCTTCACATGCTGGAGTCATTTCCAAGGACATCATTATCTTCATCATTTTCATAATCAACCATTTTGGTAATAAAACCCACAATTTCCTCTTACTGAATGCAAATAGCTGTGCAAGGCAAAGCGTGAACATTCGGTATCTTTGCAAATGCCATTCCCAACCAGAAGTCCTGACTCTCCCCTGCTGTGACCCAACACGCCGGGCTTCTCGGTTCCTTATCCCCCGGTCTCGTTTTCCACCTCGAGTTCCTTGGGGTGTGGTGCCGTCTTGCTTGTGGAGCCTCCCTGGCACCTAAGTGTTTGACATGCTGCAAATTAAATGCTCAATAAAAAAACGTTGGAGAAAAGAATGAATCAAAGCCACTATTCCCTTCCTCTTCGTTGGAGCCTGCTCGCAATGACTCCTCCTCCTTTGTGGGGGGGCTGGTTTCTGAGAAAGGCATGGGCAGGAGTCCTTGGGCCGTTCCACTGGGGAGGTAGGAGGCGGTGTTCTGAGTGCATCAGGCATCTCTCATCTCCATTCCTTTCATCTCTGCTACTACCCTACAGAGTAGATTCTGTTATTACACCAGTTTTACAGATCAAGAAACCAAGGCACTAAGAGATTAAGACCTGCCCCACATGTCACAGCTGGTGTGAGCTGTGATGAACTGGGGTTTGAAGGAGAGCAAACTGCCTCCCGGGGGCCTGTGGGCCCGGCCACCCCTCCAGTGTCTCCTCCGTGGATCGAGCACTCGCCACGCGAGAAGCCCCATGCAGGTGCCTGCAGTCTTTCCCGGCTCCTCCCGAGACGCGCTGGCAGCCGCCCTGTGTTAGAGATGGGCACGGCCTCGCTCAGGCTAAGATGTCACACTCGCAAGAAGGAGCCTCTTGACTGACGTGCAGAAGTCGCCTTTAACCTTCTTTCCAGGCTCCACCGAGGGAATGGTCTGTGGGGAATGGTCCTGAGAAGAGCGCAGCTTCTAGCCGCAGGGGGCTCGGACCCGCTGCCCCAGCGCAGACCCGGGGAGCCCGGATGGCTCCAGCAGCAGTTTGGACCTCTCAAGATTAAGCTGGTGGCCTGGAGGCCAGTGTCTGAGGTGAGCTTCTTGGAGCTGGGTGGAGGGAGAAAGGAATGGATTGGGAGTCTGACATCCTTCAATGCCGCTGTTGCTTCTCCCAGCATCTTACTAGCTCTATGACCTTGGGAAATCATTTAAAGTTCTGTGCCTCAATTTCTCCATTTGTAAAATGGGGGAGAGAATATCTCCTTTGCAGAAATGTTATAAGGATTAAATGAAATGGGTACATAAAGCTCCTATGCCTGGTTTGTAATCATGATAATGTTAAAAATAGTAACTAAGGCTCACAGAAGGAATTGGCCCAAAGTCACACAGTGCACTTTCTACTCCAACCCGTTTCTTTCTGTAGTCTCTATTTTCCTCGATGACTCCAGCACCCTGTCAGTTCCTGTGGCATAAAACCACAGAGTCCTGCTTGACTGGCCCTTCCCCCAGCAGCCTCCTCCAGCCCACCCCCAGTCAGGCAGCAGGCGCTCACTCAGTGCTGTGCGAAGCTTAGCTCCTGAGTCCCATCCCCACTGGTTCTGGCCCCTGCTATCTCTCTCCCAGGCTAGCGCAGTGCCTGGAACCTCACAGGCACTCAGTAAATGTTGCTGAATGAGTGCTGTCATGCCCTTCCCAACTCTTTCTTTCTTAATGCACCCTTTCCCTGAAAAAAATATCCTCTCATCTTCGGATAACTTACAATGACTTGCCGCACACATGCAAGGCCTCTGCTACCAGCCCTGGGCTGGGGCCACGTGCCCAGCTCACTAACCATCCCCAGCATTTCCTCCTATATCTTTCATAATTCTCATCTTTTGCCTGCCTTTGCTAGTTCTGTTCCCCGTGCTCCGAATGCCCTTCCCTTCTCTCCCAGGCCCATTTGGCAAATTTCTAAACACTGTTTATTCATTCCACAAATATGTAGTAGTGCCCACCATATGCTAGGCACCATTCCAGGCTCTGAGGCTCCAACAGGGAACAAAATAGAAGTCCCTGCCCACACGATGCCTACAGTCTACTGACAACCTGGTAGCAGAGGCATCTAACCTGGTTAGAGATGGGGGCTGGGTCTCACAGCTCCAGCCACACCTCCAAGAACCTTTTTCCCAAACCCTCTCTCCATTCTCAGATAGGCTGGACCACCTCCTTCCTGGCGCCCCTCTGTACCAGGACACGGATTGCAAGGGTCTGTTTCTATGTCTGTCTACAGTGATGGTCAGGACTGGGTTGTCTCTGTGTGATGATGTCTGAAGTCTGTTCACTGGAAGGAAGTAGGCAAGAAAGGAAAGAAAGAAGGGAGAGACAGTTCCAAGAAGTGGAGCAGGAAATGTTCAGAGAAGAGGTGGGACAGAAGGAGGGAGGCTGCCGCCCTGCTGTAGACAGACTGAACTTACCCCTCCCACTGGCACCCGCAGCTCACAGACACCCCCAGCTCGCGCCCTCTCCTGGGCGCTGCCTCAGGTCTTGCAACATGGAAACCCGCGTTGGAACTTTCTGACCGATTGGCCTGGCTCCTTAGCATTTAGAGCGCTTGTGTAGCTTCCAATGCCCTTGGCGGCTTTCGGCCGACCCTTCCCAGTCGCCCTGGGAAATAAGTCAACTTCACGGAAGAGCTGAGACCACTGAGGACAGGGGCGTGGGAGAACAAGATGAGAATTAACCCTTGGCCTTTCGCATAGAAAGGGTCTCATTTAATGCCACCGTCTTCCCACACTGGTATTATTAACCTCCGTTTCAGCCGAAAAAACTGGAGGTCAGAGGTTAAGTAATGTGCTCACGGTTGCCAGCCAGCAACAGAGCCCAAATTCACACTCAGGCCACCTGGCCCCAGAGGGCTGAGACCAGGGTTTCTCAGCCTTGGTGCTATTCACATTTGCGGCCGGGTAATCCTTTGCTGTGGGGGTCTGTCCTGTGCACTGTGGGCTCCTGGCTTAACAGAATTCCTGGCTTCTACTACTGGGTTCCAGCAGCATCCCTTTCACCCCACACATCAGTCACGACAATGAAAAATGTCTCCAGATATTGCCCAGTGTCACCTGGGGGCAAAATCTCCCCAGCGGTCTACTGCCACTGAGCAACTGGACAAGTTGCTTGGCCTCTCTGGGCACCATTGTCCCCCGTGAAGTGATCTGGGAGCATGGTCTCCAAGTGCTCAGTGACTCACTGGGGGGCAGGGAGCAATTGTATCTGTATTTATGTTTAGATGCAATCTTTATGTATATTTGATTTTATCCAAGATAAGAAGTGAATCTTTGCCATGTAGACGGATGGTAGGACAGGTCTTTGTTTCTAAATAAACAAGATCGATGAGGACATGTTTTGTAGCGTTTCTAAGAGAGATGATGGATCAGACAAGTTTGGAGCCCACGTTGCCTGAGGGTTGTGGGGTCTCTGTCAGCCACCTGTCCTATATCTTGTGAGAATAAAAGAGAGCCCTTGGCAGCATTATGACATCAGCATCTCTTTTCGTTTCTGAGCTTCGGTTTCCCCATCAGTTAAATGGAGAAAGGAAAGAACATACCTCTAAGGCTGTTATGTGGGTCAATGAAGTAGTGCACGCTCAGTGCTTAGCACAGTATATAATAATATTGAGAAATGTCCTTATTTTTATATACAGATGAGAAAATGGAGGCTACAGAATGTTTCAAAATTCCCCTTAGGTCTTATACTCTTGTGTGGTGAAGCCCAGATTCAAACCCCAGTGGGCTCACCCTGGTCCAGCTTACTCCCCTCTGCCCAAGACTTAGACCCCAGGGTTCCCCAAGAGCTCCCTGAGGGCAGACACCATCACGTCCTGACCCCGACACACTCATGTCCTAGCGCCGGGCCCACAGCAAAACATAGCGAATGTCTCTTGAATTTGGTTGACCAAATAAACTTGTTCCCAGCCCCATTTCATGTCATATCTTCCTATCAGCCTTGATTTATCCCTTCGTTGGGGAATGCAAAACACAAAGCCACTGCTCCAGAAGGCAGGTGCTCGTTACAATTTTTTGAAGGAATGAATGAATGAACAATGAATGAAGACAGTTTTGTTTTGTGGTCAAGCCTCAGTCAGATTTCCCACACATTACACAAGTGCTCAGGAAAGGGGACTCTCACAGCATGCTGGGAAATTCCTTCAGAGCGTGCATCCCGTTTAGAGTCGTGTGGCTATCAGTGCCTCCCCTCACCCCGCCCCCACAGACTGCACGCTCACAAAGGCAGGACGCACCCTTCGTGCTGGTGGTCGTATCTCAGTGCCCTGTGCTATGCCGGCACACAGCTGCACGCGGTACCCGTGTGCTGACGGAACACGGGAGTCCATGAACGAAGATCCCAGCCTGGCCTGTCTGCCTCGCGCAGCCAAGGCCCAGAGGATTGCAGCGAGTCAGCCAGCCTGCGCCAGAACCAGTTCTACGCCACCTCAACATGTCCTCCCTCCCTTCCCTTCCTCAGGAAGACGGGGGACTGCAATCCAGGAGCTCAGGCTCCTAGGAGTGTCTTTGAAGGGAAAGGAGAGGAAACGCCACCATAATCCCTGTGGGAATCAATGGAAAATGTATGGCCGTGGGGAGGAACGATACTCCGGACTGCACCAAGGCCACACTGGGAGCTTGACCTGGCCCCGCCTCTGCCTGCTGGCCTCCTGACTCGGTTGGGAATGACTGAAAAGTGCCCTGCAAATGAGCAGACATCTCAGAAGGAGAAACCAGTCAGTTCATCGCAGCTCTGGGTTCACCAAACTCTGCAGCTTCTCGTCCAGCTGCCGCTGAGCCGTCGTCCCTCCGTTCATCCTGGTACAGCGAGCAGGGGTCATCAGCCAGACTATGCCGATTGCTACTTGTGTGACTTTGGACAAAATTCTGAACATTGCTATGCCTCAGTATTCTACCTAAACTGGGCACAGTGACAGCATTTATCTCATTGGGTTGTTGCAAGAATTTGAAGCTAATGTATGTAAATAGCCGAGAGCAAATGCCTGCACATGTCCCTGCTATGGAACGTGGGTGTCTCTCACCCTGTGCTGGCTCTGGGAACGCCCCGCCCCGCCTCCTCTGCCCTCTGCGGGGACCGCTCTTCCATTGTACAGCTGTGTGCCTGTGCTCCCAGCAAACACCCCTCCTCCACGGGGCGCGGGATGCCGTCTGCTCTCATTCTCTCAAGGCCATGGCTCCAGCAAGTCTCTCCTCTTCACCCGCATCCTGAAGGTCTCCTCAAGACTTGATCATTCTCATCAGCATGCAGGCGCGCTGATATGTCTCTCTCACACACACACACCCGTCTCTTGAGCCCACATCCTCTTCCGTCTGTCACTCTGCTTCTTTGCTCCTCAGAGTCAAGTACCTGCCCTAATTCCCAATCTTCTCCTCTCTCTTGCTCTTGGAGGCACTCTGGTCAGGCTCGCACCCCCGCCCTTCCTCCACAGGGCTCTTGTTAAAGTCAACAGTGACCCCTCTCCGTAAATCTGATGGTCAAGTCTCAGTCTGGATCTTAACGGAGCTGACAGAGCACTGGACACACCATTCACTTCCTCCTCCCGGAAGCTCTTTCTGCACTTGGCTGTCAGGACAGCGATCTTTGGATTCCCCTCCTATCTTGGTGGCTTCACCTCGGTCTCCTTTGCTGAGTACTCTCCACCTTCCCCAACACTTTGCACAGGAGGCCTAGGGCCCGGTCCTCAGCCCTCTTCTTTTCCGTCCCCACCCTCACTCCTCTGTGACCTCCCGCAGCCTCCTGGCTTCAAATACCATCTATACACTGTTGGTCCCAAGTGTCTCTCCAGCCCAGCCTCTCCCCTGCTGCTCAGCACATCCCATGGGTGTCTTCAGGCATCTCCCATTGAACATGTTGACAAAAACCAGCTTCCTGACCCCTACCTCACCAAACATCCCCAAATCCTTTCTCTTGTCGTCTTTCTCACCTCCGTTCATGACAGCTCACTCTTTCCATTTGCTCAGGTCCAAAATCCTTGAAGTCATTCTTAACTCCTCTCTCTTTTTCACATTGCCCTTCCAATCTGTCAGCAAATTTTGTTGGTTCTTCCCTCAAAAGATGTTCAGAGTCTGACCACGTCTTACCTCCTCTGCCACCCAAGTCTGAGCGCCGTCCCCTCTCACCCCGTTGTCACCAAGTCTTCACAGTGGGTCTTCTGCTTCCATCTTTGTCTCCCTTCACTGTTGTCAACACAGTCCCCAGAGAAATCCTGTTAAAACATGAGGCAGACCATTTCACTCCTCTGCTCAGAGCCCTCCCATGGCTCTCGTCACAGTCAAAATAAAAGCCAGAGTCAGCACCACAGCCTGGAAGCTCCTGTAGGATTGATCCCCTCCGTGGCACCCCGCAGACCGTGTGTTCCTCCTGCCCTCCCCCTTGGGCACCCTCCCTACTCCCTGCTGCTCCTGAGACCCTCCAGGGCCTGGCGCCTTACGAGGCTGCAAGGCTCGTCAGCTTCCCTCACAGCTTTGCTCAGGCCGCCTTCCCTGGGAGGCCTCAGCTGGCCGCCCGCTTCACCGTGTGCATCTTCACCCACAGCTCCCCTGGCTCCTCTGTCTTCTCTCTGGCTCCTGGGTGTTTTCCTCCTTGCCCTCCCTGGGACCTGAGCTCCATGCCAGTTTCCTTTACTGCCAGCCATCGGTAGTCAGCGTGTGGTCCGTGTTTAGTAAGCGAACCAACTTTCTCTTGGCTTTCTCTTCTTCTGTTTGTTTGGGGAAGGAGCTGCCTCCTCTCCACGCGTGCATTCCCCCAGAGGAGGAGCCTCGCCACAGCCTCCCACGAGGATTTGTCAGAGGAATGAAGGGCAAACGGAGCGAGGAGATGCGTGAACAGTCGTGTTGTAGCGGGGGTACGGTGGACTGCATGGATTGTCTTCTTCCAGAAACCATCCTCTTTCTCAGTGTACTCGGTGACTGCTTTCTAAGTCAGGCCCTGGATATGGCCACAAAGATATGGCTTCTACTCTTCTCCCCCATGGGGACTGCCTGCCCACAAGCCCAGGCCCTGCTGTCTTTCCATGTCCATCCAGATGCCTTCCCTTCCTCCAGGGGGCCCCTCCTGATACCCTGGCCCACCAGGCTCTTTCTGACTCCCAGTAACCTTTCCACCTCCAGCCTCACCCCACCAGGTGCCCAGTGAGTCAACAGGAGGGAGCTCTCTCACGCCTCCAGAGGGGGAAGGATGCCCTTTCTCCAGCTGCCTGCTGGAGAGTCTCCACCGGCCCCCGCACTTAGGCAGAGTACGGCCAGCCTCCGCTGGGCTCTGTCTTGGTGGGAAGCCCTGCGAGCACGGGGACTTCTCTTCTGTTTCCTCAGGAGGTAGGAAGCTAGGTCTTCAGCTGAAAGTGATGATGGGGAAGGAAGGGTTGGAGGTGGAGGATAGAAGAGAAAGTTCGAAATAGTGCAGAATGGGAAAGTGACCAGAGAAAAAATACAGTAGCTTGCCAGGCAACACTTGGCATGTTTGAGTGTTTTTTTCAGGCCACGGTTAACTGCCCAGGTGTGGCAGCAGACGAGGTGGAGAGTCACCTTTAACCAGAGTTGGGGTTTTGCCCAGCAGTGTAATGAGTCAGGTGGAAAAAAGAGAAAACATATGTCAGGGTGTGCCTCTAATGCAAAGGACAATATGGATGTTAAGAGGGTATAATAAGGAAGCCCAGTGGCCCAAAGGCCAAAGTTTGCTAGGAAAAGTCTGACAACAGATTTCAGATTGGTACTGTCCCAGAGTAACTTTTCCAGAAAGTTCCCTGACCACCCCCGCTTTCCAGTGTGGGTCCGTCGCTCTCTCTGTCTGCTCCCGCAGCACCGTGTGCTCACCTCTACTGCGTGGCAGTCCTTGATTTAGTTGTGCATCTTCCTTCTGCACTGTGAGCCCTTAGAGGACGGGACCAGGTCTCCTATTGCTTTGTATTCCAGCACCAGGCCCAAGAACAACTCACTAAGCAAGCACTGACTGATTGGCTGAATAAACTTATTTGCTAGAACCCAGACCATGTTCTGTATAATAACAAATCCTCACGTTTGTATAGCAGTTTGCAGTTTGTAAAGCAATTTCATATCCATGATCTTATTTCAGCCTTACAACAACCCTACAAGATAGAAACTCACTCATTGACTCATTCATTCATTCATTCAACTAAGTAGGGCACTTACTACGTCAGGTACTGGAACACAGGAGCAAACAGACAGACGAACATCCCTGCCTTCGTGGAGCTTCGTTCCTGCAGAAGGTATGAGCTATTTTACATATGGGCAGACTGAGGTTAGGTGACGGAGGCTAAGGAAACTGGCCTAGGTCACAGGACTTGCAGGCAAAGGAGCCTCATTCGGACGCAGGGCTGTCTGACTCCAAGTATGGGGGAAGCGCCTTCTACCACACTGCACTTACCTCAAGCGACCACAGGCTCATCCAGGAGTGTCTTTTAAATTTTTTCCTAACTTAATAACAAATCAAAGGAGACTTGGCAGAAATCCACACCCCAGGACTACTTTGGAACTCCTCCCCTCGATTGACAAAGATGTGAGAAATACCTGCCAGCTCTCTTCTTGCCAGAGCCAACGACAGAAGCCACACAGCATTGTGAGCACAGCGTCTGCTTGTGTGCAAACCCGCAGGCATTTTTAGCAACTTTGGGGAACATAAAGAAAGCTGTTGGTTTTGTTTGCACATATTTTTCGCCTCTGCAAAAGGCTTCTCACCAAGCAGCAGCCTCAGAGCCGCCTTTCATCTGATCTTGAGACACGCAGCGTCTTTATAACTCTGGCTGAGCTACAGCTGGCAAATGACTTCACCTGCTCTTGGTTCCCTTACTTGGAAAATGGGTCTGATAATAAAGGTCCCTGCCTCTCAGGATGGCTGTGGGATAAATGAGTTCCCAGGGAAATGCCGGTCATCTGTAAAGCTTTATGCCCATGGTGGTTCAGCACAGGGAGGCAGCCTGGTGGGAAGAGGGCTGCGTCAGAATCTGAAGGACCTGGATCGGAACCCCAGCTCTCCACTTATGGCCACAGAACCTTCGGCAAGTAGCTTAATCACCCCTGCTTCTCCAGCCTCAGCCTCCTCATCCATGGGAAGAGTAATACATGTGCATGTATGTCCATAACAACGATGGTTGCGAATGTTGGAAATAATGTATACACATTGCCTGGCATTGAGCTTGCATACGATAATTGTCCAGTAAATGGCACAGGTGTTCAGTATTATTATTCTCATTACTGCTATTAGTGTATGGGTGGTGAGGTCAACAAGGATTTCAGGAAGTTTAGACTGTGAATTCGCTGAGGCAAGCATTGTCTCACACATCTCTGCGTACCTAATGCCCAAACCGACCTGGCAGTCAGCAACTGCTGGTGAAGTTGGGAGAACTGGGTTAGATGAAGAGGAAGGGGCCAGCTCCCTCAGTGGTCAGCTCTGGCTTGAACAAGAACTCGTGTTCCCTGCACACTGACCACGGGGCAGACCTCTCTCTTTATGTGTGTTTACTCCTCCTACTGGCTTAGGAGGCAGGTATCATTATAACCCACGTTTTAACAAGTAGGAAGCTGACACTCAACAGTCAAACGACTTGCCCAAGCTCATGCAGCTAGTGGGTGGCAGAGCAAGGCCAGGAGCCCGAAGGTGCCGACCTCTGAGCCCACACTTGTGACCTCTTCCCTGTGCCACAGCGAGCCTGGCTTAGGGCCTCCCCTTCCTCGGACCTCATGGGGTCCTGGCCTCGGGTGTTTCTGACACTGCCATTAGGAAGAGTGCATCTCCCCTCTGGAGGCCTAAGCAAATGATCTGTGTTGCCAGCCCCTGTTACTGTTTTGGGTGTTTTCCTTGTTTTGATGTTCCCTTTACCATGGCAGGCATTGGGAGTGAAAAGGGAGGCTGACATTACACATCTACGGTCACCCCCTCCGGGCAATGCCACACCCTCTGGGAGCAGATGTCCCTTCCTGCCACCAAGGGGCACAGGGACTCCCACTCACGCCTGTCTCTGGAAGTGTGCACTGGAACCCGGAGCTGAGGGGGAGGAAAGGCAGAGTGGACCTGCCCGGGGAGCCCTTGCTAATGGGGCCGGAGGCCAGCAGCAGGGGATGAGGAGATGCCACATTCCTCCTCTGCTCCCCAACTCGTCAGCTGCTTCTGTCAGGACCTCACAGTGGATGTTCCCACAGTCTGCTGTACAGCCCACACCAAGATGCAGAATCACAGCCGCTCAGTCCAGAGAGGGGAGAAGGCTTGCGCATGGTCCCCAGCCCTCAGCAGTGGAGCAGGTCTGCCATTTTCTGCATCCTCAGACCTATGACCTTTCTACAGTGTGAGGTCAGGGAACAGAGATCCATCGGTTATGTCTTTGAGTGGCACAGTATCATAGCAGGTGAGAGTTCTATTTCTTTCTTTCTTTTTTTTTTTTTTGCAGGGGAAGATTTGCCCTAAGCTAACATCTGTTTCCTATCTGCCTCCTTTTTTCTTCCTTTTCCTCCCCAAAGACCCAGTACATGCTTGCATAGAGTTGTAAGTCCTTCTAGTTCTTCTATGTGAGCCACTGCCACAGCATGGCTACTGACAGCTGAGTGGTGTGGTTCTGCATGCAGAAACCAAACCCAGGCCACCAAAGCGAAGCACACTGAACTTTAACCACTAGGTCATCAGGGCTGGCTCCAGAGTTCCATTTCTAAAGTCTGAAATTCTGAGTCTGAATTCCCGCCTTGCCACTAGTTTAGCGATCTTGCACAAGTCACGTAACCCCGTGAGCCTCCAGGTGGAGGAATCGGTGCCCAGCCACAGTGGCTGCCATGAGCGTTAGATGGAACAGGGCATAGAAAGCCCTTGACCCACTTCTTGGCAAAGAGTGAGAGATCAAAACACACAGCCTCGTCTCTTCCTGAGCTCTTACTGGACACTCAGCGCTGCCAGCAAGGCTCTGAAGCAAGAATTAAGATCCTCACAGAGCAGAGGAGTGAACAGAGCGTTGGAAAGGCTGGGGGCCTGTCCCAGATCCCTTAGCTGGTAAGTGAGGCCCCGACTCTCAGACCCGGAGTCCTTATTGTCTATACTAGCTCACTGGTGCATTTTGTTTTGTTTTGTTCTTGTT